CTCTTGTCGACCAGCGATGTCTACTCAAACGAAGGATAAGTTACCTGAGTTGGCCTCTTCCATGTGCATTTACAAATTCAGCTGCTCCTGTGGAGATAGCTATATAGGGCGTACTACCAGGCAACTTAACCAACGAATGAGTGAACATCTACCAACTTGGTACATAAAGGGTCAGAGAAAAACTATTCGCAGTTCTATACTAGCACATCTTATTGATAGCGGTCATGCAGTAGAGAAATCGAAATCATTTCGAGTTATCTATCGTATACCTCCATCATTTCCCGACGGAGTCCGTTCCCGTCTCCTATATATAGCTGAAGCCATTGGAATTCGTACATATAACCCCAATCTATGTGTACAGAAGAAATACGTGACTCCCCTATCCCTTCCATGGCCAGTTATAACTTAACTAACAATTTTTTTTTAATTTTTTTACAAATTTTATTATTATCATTATTTATTTTATTCTATCTGTGTTATTGTTAACCTTATTTCCACATCCATTATTTGTTTGTCATTATCCGCCTCTTTTTATTCTTCACTATGTAATTATTTACACACATCTTATTACGTAATGATTTTTAAGGTTTTGTGATTACTATTCCTTGTCTATTTACCCATGTTTATTTGACCTTCTATTTCCAACGATTAACTATTGATAAGAGTTTTGTTATTGTAGTTTATTATTCTTACCACTATCTGTTCACCTGTCTTCGTACTATCAACTTGTACTTTTACCTATTTTATGTGTAGTGACTTATTCTATTTCATTGTGATTATTGACTCATATTGCCTTGATTGGTTTAAAATTTTCGTATAAATATTCATGTATATTAGAGTAAAGCCTGATGACGATCTAATTGAAAACAATTGTTCGCTTATATGTGTTGTTCTAATTTTCACAATGGGAATCTTTAATATTCTAAAATCGCGTGGGGACCCTGTTGCATTTAAGACACTCAATGAGTTTCTGAAGTTTAATGCACGTCTCACAGAAGCGAAAACGAGCTTAGAATTTGCTATTAATTGTATACAATCTAATAGATATCCTAAAATATATTGGAAGTCTTTACGTCGTAACCGAATCTATCCTAATGCAAAAACACTTGAAAGACATGCGTCGAATCAAATTGATACATTGAAAATGAATATCTGTGACTTCGAAAGGAATCTTCTTCAGAGACAATATTCCGTTAAAAACCTTCCTTCAGAGCTTCAGTCAATGTTTATGGATTATGTGGGGAAAATTTCCAAAAACAGATCTGAGAAAACGTTGACGAAACTAATGAAAACTTTGGAAAACCAGAAGCCAGAAAAGGAGTTTCCCTTCGACACGAAACGGTACGTACATAATTTTTCCAATATTGAACTAGATGTAGTACAGCTAGAAGCTTTATCTCTGGGACCTAAATTCTGTGATAGTAGACATAGAATCAACCAATTAGATACTGATGTACAATTTGAGAATTTGTTTTCACAAACAACTGACTTGATTCCTACCTCATTGGATGACCTTGCTCGGTTTAAAACCACACTAGTTGATAGCTGCCAACAATACAAGAATAGTAAGGGTACCACAAATCACCTACTAACCAAGCAGCACCGTGACTCTTTAATGAAACTAAGAAAAGATGAAACCCTGACCATAACCAAACCAGATAAAGGAGGAGGTATAGTTCTCATGAACAAAAAAGATAACCTGGGTAAAATGAAAACAATGCTTAGCGATTCTAGCAAATTTCAGAAAATTACTAGTAATTGTGACATCAAAAGTAAAGTAGAAAGACAATTGGCCAATTTCCTTAAAGATCTAACGAAAAAGGGAATAATTACTACTGAGATTTACGATTCAATTAAGCCGACTGGATCATTTACACCACGATTGTATGGTTTGCCTAAAGTACATAAATCGGGTCTTCCTCTACGCCCAGTTCTAGATATGTACAATTCTCCTTACCACAAAATCGCAAAGTGGCTAGTACGAACCCTAGAACCTTTACACAAATCAGTTGTTAGAAATAGTGTAAAAGATGTCTTCAACTTCATCTCCAAAGTAGAAAATATTAATGTCAGCATGAAAAATATGATCTCATTGGATGTAGAATCTTTGTTCACCAACGTACCACTTATAGAGACTATTGATTTTATATGCAAGCAAATATCAAAGAAACAAATCAACATTGGCCTGCCTAACGATAGCCTAAGGGAACTGCTCCTAAGATGCACTCTGAATGTACATTTTGTCTTCAACAATACTTACTATAGACAAATAGACGGGATAGCCATGGGCTCGCCTCTAGGCCCGATTTTAGCTGACCTCTTCCTAGCAAAGCTAGAAAACGGACCTCTCAATGAGACTATTAAGAAACTCGATTTATATTGCCGATACATTGACGACACATTCATTATCGTAGACCAAAACACTAGTAAAGAGGAACTCCTAGACCAATTCAACAGTGTTCACCCAGCGATCACCTTCACTGGTGAAAGCGAGCATGATAAGAAGATGAGCTTCCTTGACGTCACGCTAAGCAGACGAAGTGACGGCACATTAAGTAGAAGCGTGTATAGAAGAAACCCCTCTTCATGCCAATATACTCACTTCTGCAGTTTCACACCCATCCGGTACAAGAGAAATTTGGTCAGATGTCTCACGAGCAGAGCAAAAAAGATCTGTACAGTAGACACTCTAAGTCAGGAGCTTGAATTTCTCAACAACTCACTGACCGAGATCGGCTACCCCAGCGCGTTCATCAAGAAATACATGCAGGATATAATAAAGAAGTCGGAGATTTCGACTGTTCGTAAGAAACCTTTATACATGAAAGTGCAATTCAACGGGGATGTGGCTAGTGACACTCTGAAATATAGGTTAACCAGAGTAATCACCAAGACATTCTACGCAGCCAATCTTGCGTTGACCTTCTCTTGTCGACCAGCGATGTCTACTCAAACGAAGGATAAGTTACCTGAGTTGGCCTCTTCCATGTGCATTTACAAATTCAGCTGCTCCTGTGGAGATAGCTATATAGGGCGTACTACCAGGCAACTTAACCAACGAATGAGTGAACATCTACCAACTTGGTACATAAAGGGTCAGAGAAAAACTATTCGCAGTTCTATACTAGCACATCTTATTGATAGCGGTCATGCAGTAGAGAAATCGAAATCATTTCGAGTTATCTATCGTATACCTCCATCATTTCCCGACGGAGTCCGTTCCCGTCTCCTATATATAGCTGAAGCCATTGGAATTCGTACATATAACCCCAATCTATGTGTACAGAAGAAATACGTGACTCCCCTATCCCTTCCATGGCCAGTTATAACTTAACTAACAATTTTTTTTTAAATTTTTTTACAAATTTTATTATTATCATTATTTATTTTATTCTATCTGTGTTATTGTTAACCTTATTTCCACATCCATTATTTGTTTGTCATTATCCGCCTCTTTTTATTCTTCACTATGTAATTATTTACACACATCTTATTACGTAATGATTTTTAAGGTTTTGTGATTACTATTCCTTGTCTATTTACCCATGTTTATTTGACCTTCTATTTCCAACGATTAACTATTGATAAGAGTTTTGTTATTGTAGTTTATTATTCTTACCACTATCTGTTCACCTGTCTTCGTACTATCAACTTGTACTTTTACCTATTTTATGTGTAGTGACTTATTCTATTTCATTGTGATTATTGACTCATATTGCCTTGATTGGTTTAAAATTTTCGTATAAATATTCATGTATATTAGAGTAAAGCCTGATGACGATCTAATTGAAAACAATTGTTCGCTTATATGTGTTGTTCTAATTTTCACAATGGGAATCTTTAATATTCTAAAATCGCGTGGGGACCCTGTTGCATTTAAGACACTCAATGAGTTTCTGAAGTTTAATGCACGTCTCACAGAAGCGAAAACGAGCTTAGAATTTGCTATTAATTGTATACAATCTAATAGATATCCTAAAATATATTGGAAGTCTTTACGTCGTAACCGAATCTATCCTAATGCAAAAACACTTGAAAGACATGCGTCGAATCAAATTGATACTTTGAAAATGAATATCTGTGACTTCGAAAGGAATCTTCTTCAGAGACAATATTCCGTTAAAAACCTTCCTTCAGAGCTTCAGTCAATGTTTATGGATTATGTGGGGAAAATTTCCAAAAACAGATCTGAGAAAACGTTGACGAAACTAATGAAAACTTTGGAAAACCAGAAGCCAGAAAAGGAGTTTCCCTTCGACACGAAACGGTACGTACATAATTTTTCCAATATTGAACTAGATGTAGTACAGCTAGAAGCTTTATCTCTGGGACCTAAATTCTGTGATAGTAGACATAGAATCAACCAATTAGATACTGATGTACAATTTGAGAATTTGTTTTCACAAACAACTGACTTGATTCCTACCTCATTGGATGACCTTGCTCGGTTTAAAACCACACTAGTTGATAGCTGCCAACAATACAAGAATAGTAAGGGTACCACAAATCACCTACTAACCAAGCAGCACCGTGACTCTTTAATGAAACTAAGAAAAGATGAAACCCTGACCATAACCAAACCAGATAAAGGAGGAGGTATAGTTCTCATGAACAAAAAAGATAACCTGGGTAAAATGAAAACAATGCTTAGCGATTCTAGCAAATTTCAGAAAATTACTAGTAATTGTGACATCAAAAGTAAAGTAGAAAGACAATTGGCCAATTTCCTTAAAGATCTAACGAAAAAGGGAATAATTACTACTGAGATTTACGATTCAATTAAGCCGACTGGATCATTTACACCACGATTGTATGGTTTGCCTAAAGTACATAAATCGGGTCTTCCTCTACGCCCAGTTCTAGATATGTACAATTCTCCTTACCACAAAATCGCAAAGTGGCTAGTACGAACCCTAGAACCTTTACACAAATCAGTTGTTAGAAATAGTGTAAAAGATGTCTTCAACTTCATCTCCAAAGTAGAAAATATTAATGTCAGCATGAAAAATATGATCTCATTGGATGTAGAATCTTTGTTCACCAACGTACCACTTATAGAGACTATTGATTTTATATGCAAGCAAATATCAAAGAAACAAATCAACATTGGCCTGCCTAACGATAGCCTAAGGGAACTGCTCCTAAGATGCACTCTGAATGTACATTTTGTCTTCAACAATACTTACTATAGACAAATAGACGGGATAGCCATGGGCTCGCCTCTAGGCCCGATTTTAGCTGACCTCTTCCTAGCAAAGCTAGAAAACGGACCTCTCAATGAGACTATTAAGAAACTCGATTTATATTGCCGATACATTGACGACACATTCATTATCGTAGACCAAAACACTAGTAAAGAGGAACTCCTAGACCAATTCAACAGTGTTCACCCAGCGATCACCTTCACTGGTGAAAGCGAGCATGATAAGAAGATGAGCTTCCTTGACGTCACGCTAAGCAGACGAAGTGACGGCACATTAAGTAGAAGCGTGTATAGAAGAAACCCCTCTTCATGCCAATATACTCACTTCTGCAGTTTCACACCCATCCGGTACAAGAGAAATTTGGTCAGATGTCTCACGAGCAGAGCAAAAAAGATCTGTACAGTAGACACTCTAAGTCAGGAGCTTGAATTTCTCAACAACTCACTGACCGAGATCGGCTACCCCAGCGCGTTCATCAAGAAATACATGCAGGATATAATAAAGAAGTCGGAGATTTCGACTGTTCGTAAGAAACCTTTATACATGAAAGTGCAATTCAACGGGGATGTGGCTAGTGACACTCTGAAATATAGGTTAACCAGAGTAATCACCAAGACATTCTACGCAGCCAATCTTGCGTTGACCTTCTCTTGTCGACCAGCGATGTCTACTCAAACGAAGGATAAGTTACCTGAGTTGGCCTCTTCCATGTGCATTTACAAATTCAGCTGCTCCTGTGGAGATAGCTATATAGGGCGTACTACCAGGCAACTTAACCAACGAATGAGTGAACATCTACCAACTTGGTACATAAAGGGTCAGAGAAAAACTATTCGCAGTTCTATACTAGCACATCTTATTGATAGCGGTCATGCAGTAGAGAAATCGAAATCATTTCGAGTTATCTATCGTATACCTCCATCATTTCCCGACGGAGTCCGTTCCCGTCTCCTATATATAGCTGAAGCCATTGGAATTCGTACATATAACCCCAATCTATGTGTACAGAAGAAATACGTGACTCCCCTATCCCTTCCATGGCCAGTTATAACTTAACTAACAATTTTTTTTTAAATTTTTTTACAAATTTTATTATTATCATTATTTATTTTATTCTATCTGTGTTATTGTTAACCTTATTTCCACATCCATTATTTGTTTGTCATTATCCGCCTCTTTTTATTCTTCACTATGTAATTATTTACACACATCTTATTACGTAATGATTTTTAAGGTTTTGTGATTACTATTCCTTGTCTATTTACCCATGTTTATTTGACCTTCTATTTCCAACGATTAACTATTGATAAGAGTTTTGTTATTGTAGTTTATTATTCTTACCACTATCTGTTCACCTGTCTTCGTACTATCAACTTGTACTTTTACCTATTTTATGTGTAGTGACTTATTCTATTTCATTGTGATTATTGACTCATATTGCCTTGATTGGTTTAAAATTTTCGTATAAATATTCATGTATATTAGAGTAAAGCCTGATGACGATCTAATTGAAAACAATTGTTCGCTTATATGTGTTGTTCTAATTTTCACAATGGGAATCTTTAATATTCTAAAATCGCGTGGGGACCCTGTTGCATTTAAGACACTCAATGAGTTTCTGAAGTTTAATGCACGTCTCACAGAAGCGAAAACGAGCTTAGAATTTGCTATTAATTGTATACAATCTAATAGATATCCTAAAATATATTGGAAGTCTTTACGTCGTAACCGAATCTATCCTAATGCAAAAACACTTGAAAGACATGCGTCGAATCAAATTGATACTTTGAAAATGAATATCTGTGACTTCGAAAGGAATCTTCTTCAGAGACAATATTCCGTTAAAAACCTTCCTTCAGAGCTTCAGTCAATGTTTATGGATTATGTGGGGAAAATTTCCAAAAACAGATCTGAGAAAACGTTGACGAAACTAATGAAAACTTTGGAAAACCAGAAGCCAGAAAAGGAGTTTCCCTTCGACACGAAACGGTACGTACATAATTTTTCCAATATTGAACTAGATGTAGTACAGCTAGAAGCTTTATCTCTGGGACCTAAATTCTGTGATAGTAGACATAGAATCAACCAATTAGATACTGATGTACAATTTGAGAATTTGTTTTCACAAACAACTGACTTGATTCCTACCTCATTGGATGACCTTGCTCGGTTTAAAACCACACTAGTTGATAGCTGCCAACAATACAAGAATAGTAAGGGTACCACAAATCACCTACTAACCAAGCAGCACCGTGACTCTTTAATGAAACTAAGAAAAGATGAAACCCTGACCATAACCAAACCAGATAAAGGAGGAGGTATAGTTCTCATGAACAAAAAAGATAACCTGGGTAAAATGAAAACAATGCTTAGCGATTCTAGCAAATTTCAGAAAATTACTAGTAATTGTGACATCAAAAGTAAAGTAGAAAGACAATTGGCCAATTTCCTTAAAGATCTAACGAAAAAGGGAATAATTACTACTGAGATTTACGATTCAATTAAGCCGACTGGATCATTTACACCACGATTGTATGGTTTGCCTAAAGTACATAAATCGGGTCTTCCTCTACGCCCAGTTCTAGATATGTACAATTCTCCTTACCACAAAATCGCAAAGTGGCTAGTACGAACCCTAGAACCTTTACACAAATCAGTTGTTAGAAATAGTGTAAAAGATGTCTTCATCTTCATCTCCAAAGTAGAAAATATTAATGTCAGCATGAAAAATATGATCTCATTGGATGTAGAATCTTTGTTCACCAACGTACCACTTATAGAGACTATTGATTTTATATGCAAGCAAATATCAAAGAAACAAATCAACATTGGCCTGCCTAACGATAGCCTAAGGGAACTGCTCCTAAGATGCACTCTGAATGTACATTTTGTCTTCAACAATACTTACTATAGACAAATAGACGGGATAGCCATGGGCTCGCCTCTAGGCCCGATTTTAGCTGACCTCTTCCTAGCAAAGCTAGAAAACGGACCTCTCAATGAGACTATTAAGAAACTCGATTTATATTGCCGATACATTGACGACACATTCATTATCGTAGACCAAAACACTAGTAAAGAGGAACTCCTAGACCAATTCAACAGTGTTCACCCAGCGATCACCTTCACTGGTGAAAGCGAGCATGATAAGAAGATGAGCTTCCTTGACGTCACGCTAAGCAGACGAAGTGACGGCACATTAAGTAGAAGCGTGTATAGAAGAAACCCCTCTTCATGCCAATATACTCACTTCTGCAGTTTCACACCCATCCGGTACAAGAGAAATTTGGTCAGATGTCTCACGAGCAGAGCAAAAAAGATCTGTACAGTAGACACTCTAAGTCAGGAGCTTGAATTTCTCAACAACTCACTGACCGAGATCGGCTACCCCAGCGCGTTCATCAAGAAATACATGCAGGATATAATAAAGAAGTCGGAGATTTCGACTGTTCGTAAGAAACCTTTATACATGAAAGTGCAATTCAACGGGGATGTGGCTAGTGACACTCTGAAATATAGGTTAACCAGAGTAATCACCAAGACATTCTACGCAGCCAATCTTGCGTTGACCTTCTCTTGTCGACCAGCGATGTCTACTCAAACGAAGGATAAGTTACCTGAGTTGGCCTCTTCCATGTGCATTTACAAATTCAGCTGCTCCTGTGGAGATAGCTATATAGGGCGTACTACCAGGCAACTTAACCAACGAATGAGTGAACATCTACCAACTTGGTACATAAAGGGTCAGAGAAAAACTATTCGCAGTTCTATACTAGCACATCTTATTGATAGCGGTCATGCAGTAGAGAAATCGAAATCATTTCGAGTTATCTATCGTATACCTCCATCATTTCCCGACGGAGTCCGTTCCCGTCTCCTATATATAGCTGAAGCCATTGGAATTCGTACATATAACCCCAATCTATGTGTACAGAAGAAATACGTGACTCCCCTATCCCTTCCATGGCCAGTTATAACTTAACTATCAGTGACAGCTGAAATTTTTTTCAAGATTATATGTGTAAATTAGTAAGAATAAATTTGGTATTGAAGAACTTATTTTTAAAAAACATGATTTGTTTGTCATTATCCGCCTCTTTTTATTCTTCACTATGTAATTATTTACACACATCTTATTACGTAATGATTTTTAAGGTTTTGTGATTACTATTCCTTGTCTATTTACCCATGTTTATTTGACCTTCTATTTCCAACGATTAACTATTGATAAGAGTTTTGTTATTGTAGTTTATTATTCTTACCACTATCTGTTCACCTGTCTTCGTACTATCAACTTGTACTTTTACCTATTTTATGTGTAGTGACTTATTCTATTTCATTGTGATTATTGACTCATATTGCCTTGATTGGTTTAAAATTTTCGTATAAATATTCATGTATATTAGAGTAAAGCCTGATGACGATCTAATTGAAAACAATTGTTCGCTTATATGTGTTGTTCTAATTTTCACAATGGGAATCTTTAATATTCTAAAATCGCGTGGGGACCCTGTTGCATTTAAGACACTCAATGAGTTTCTGAAGTTTAATGCACGTCTCACAGAAGCGAAAACGAGCTTAGAATTTGCTATTAATTGTATACAATCTAATAGATATCCTAAAATATATTGGAAGTCTTTACGTCGTAACCGAATCTATCCTAATGCAAAAACACTTGAAAGACATGCGTCGAATCAAATTGATACATTGAAAATGAATATCTGTGACTTCGAAAGGAATCTTCTTCAGAGACAATATTCCGTTAAAAACCTTCCTTCAGAGCTTCAGTCAATGTTTATGGATTATGTGGGGAAAATTTCCAAAAACAGATCTGAGAAAACGTTGACGAAACTAATGAAAACTTTGGAAAACCAGAAGCCAGAAAAGGAGTTTCCCTTCGACACGAAACGGTACGTACATAATTTTTCCAATATTGAACTAGATGTAGTACAGCTAGAAGCTTTATCTCTGGGACCTAAATTCTGTGATAGTAGACATAGAATCAACCAATTAGATACTGATGTACAATTTGAGAATTTGTTTTCACAAACAACTGACTTGATTCCTACCTCATTGGATGACCTTGCTCGGTTTAAAACCACACTAGTTGATAGCTGCCAACAATACAAGAATAGTAAGGGTACCACAAATCACCTACTAACCAAGCAGCACCGTGACTCTTTAATGAAACTAAGAAAAGATGAAACCCTGACCATAACCAAACCAGATAAAGGAGGAGGTATAGTTCTCATGAACAAAAAAGATAACCTGGGTAAAATGAAAACAATGCTTAGCGATTCTAGCAAATTTCAGAAAATTACTAGTAATTGTGACATCAAAAGTAAAGTAGAAAGACAATTGGCCAATTTCCTTAAAGATCTAACGAAAAAGGGAATAATTACTACTGAGATTTACGATTCAATTAAGCCGACTGGATCATTTACACCACGATTGTATGGTTTGCCTAAAGTACATAAATCGGGTCTTCCTCTACGCCCAGTTCTAGATATGTACAATTCTCCTTACCACAAAATCGCAAAGTGGCTAGTACGAACCCTAGAACCTTTACACAAATCAGTTGTTAGAAATAGTGTAAAAGATGTCTTCAACTTCATCTCCAAAGTAGAAAATATTAATGTCAGCATGAAAAATATGATCTCATTGGATGTAGAATCTTTGTTCACCAACGTACCACTTATAGAGACTATTGATTTTATATGCAAGCAAATATCAAAGAAACAAATCAACATTGGCCTGCCTAACGATAGCCTAAGGGAACTGCTCCTAAGATGCACTCTGAATGTACATTTTGTCTTCAACAATACTTACTATAGACAAATAGACGGGATAGCCATGGGCTCGCCTCTAGGCCCGATTTTAGCTGACCTCTTCCTAGCAAAGCTAGAAAACGGACCTCTCAATGAGACTATTAAGAAACTCGATTTATATTGCCGATACATTGACGACACATTCATTATCGTAGACCAAAACACTAGTAAAGAGGAACTCCTAGACCAATTCAACAGTGTTCACCCAGCGATCACCTTCACTGGTGA